TAAGTTCAAGGAGAAAGATGGCCAAAATCAAATCTCACATAAAGTCTTGCATTTTTTCCTTTTTAAAGATGTTCATGTCTTTGGGGAAAACATTTTAAAATTTCACGGTCCTTCTGTTGGAAAGGGATACTTGTGCAACCTCCTGGCAGCCAAGGCCTCCCTCTGGATGCCAAACACCAACAGCTGAAGCGGAGCTGCAACCGAGAACTGCTCACCTCCCCAGGAAAGCACTTCCAAGCGCTGGACGCTGCTTCAAAGAGTCACCTATGAATCCCACACACCAAGTGGACCTGTGCTAAGGATTTTCTTGGCATTCTGCAGTTCTGGGGCATTTTGCGCATTAAGGGGCAAATAACAGTACCTTGAGTCCAAAATGGTAAGTAATGTAAACCATGAAAGATTAGAGTGACAGGGTGATTCTGACCATTGACTCCAGCCAAACTCTAGCTGCTAGATTTTGAATGCACTGAAGAGGCTTAATTACCCGCCATGGCAGCCACGCAGTGCTCAGTGGAGGACGACATCTGCTGACGACTCTAGCTAGGTCGGAAGGCCTCGCTGCGCCCCTCATCGCCACCATCGCGCTCGTCCTGCTTCAGCACTGCTCGGAGTGCCCTGCTCTGAACCCACAGAGGCTGTGATGCTCGCCAGCTCCCCGCCAGGCAAGGTCAATGCAAAGGAGTGAGGAAGGATGCATGGTGCGCAGACAAGGCTGCCAGCCAGCCGACCCCAGGCCAAATGCAAAGCTAGGCCTTGCTCCTCTATTTCACGGTGAGAAATGGGGATGGGGGCAGCATGGGAGGAGAGCACCTGATGATCCAACTCATTTATGGAATGCAGATGAGAAAGGTGGTCACATGCAAGCCGCTCTCATTACTGCGTCTCCGTGGGTCGGGAATGCTTCCTCTGACGCTTCTTCCATCCAACTTGCTTGCTTGGGGCTCTTCTCCTCTTGACTGCTAGAGAAGCAGAGTGCCACTGTCTTCCAGTGAACCAGTTTCTGCAGCTGTGCTGCTTTTGAGAGATCCCTCACTTGGGAGCCCGCAATTGGAAGAGGAGAAAGAACTATGAGTATTCATGTTGGGTTCTGAGCAATGCTGCTCCAAACAGAGAATTTGTTTCTTTCCAGCAAATGAAAGCTCGCCGTGCTGTATTCTTCTTGCAGCACTGGAAGGAGTGGGCTCTTGCTCTTGGGCCCGCTTGCTCTAGGCTCCCTGGAGGCTCCGGCTTGGCTGCTATGAGAAAGAGAACTCCAGGCTAGTTCTTGAAGAGCCCCAATCTTCTTGCTTGCTTGGGGTGGCTTGGGCCACCTTTGGGGGTCATCCACTGTTCCTAATCAATACACACAGATGCACAGGTGGCCCGAAGTCAGCTGTGTGCACCTTTTGAAAAGCTTTCAGGAGGAGGCTAACCCTCCTCCTAATCGTCAGGTGATTCACAATGTGCTAAATTAAAGATTATTCATTGGCACATTGTTTTTAGATCTCTAAGACTCCAGAGTTAAACGCGACTTCAAAGACAAATCCACTGGGCAGCCAGGCCCATAACAGTGCAGATACACCCCGAGTCAAGACTCATCCTCATGCACGCCTATTTGTGCTGGACTGTGTGAACCGCTTCACCACTGGGAGAGATGGCAGGCAACCCCTGGCAGCTCCAGGCAATGCAAAGAGAAGACAAATTGGCAATTCCACCCCAGCAGTGAAACCTCCTCCTGTGTCCCCCAGAGACAATGTATGGACCGAAAACTGGGGAAGAGGCTTTAATACTTGCATTAGTTCAGCTCACTTTCCTAGATATTCCTAAGAAGCAAAACCGTTTAAGTCACTTGGCATTGCAGCAGCTTAAGGCCAACAGGAAACACAAGCATGGTTTAGCTTTGCCTTTAAAATACTATCCAGGCATCCTTGTTTGAAGGCAGAGGAGCTAATCTGGTCATTAAGAAGTTTTCTAATTAGCCTGAATAGTGGGGGTCAGGGTCTTGTAACACGCCCATCAAGAAAAGCAAAGCATGTGTCTGCATATGCTCACAGAATTTTTACCTGATTTACCCTCTACAGGTGTGTCCTGAAACAGAATAAAACATGCCAGTGATCCTTTGTGAGATCAAATAGTTACTTTCTGTATTTCAGTTTTCTGTCTCCTATATAATAAAACATATCCAAATGTAGCTTAAGGGAAACAATCAGTACATTCTGTGTGTGAGAGCACACTTGCACACACGTAAGAAAGGAAGAGAGAGAGAGAGCAGTCGCATCTGCAGCTGTTAAGCCGTTGTTAATATACATGATTTAACCGATGCTGGAGAAGGGACCGTATTCATTCAAACAGAGAGAGAAAATCGTCCTCCAAACGGCATTTTTCCTTGATACAGGTGGAACGATGAGGCTTTCCACCACCCCTTCTTCTCAGGTGTGTCCTGCGGGTGGGCATGGTTTTTGCCTGGCATTGGCACAACGAAATTCTTCCAGTGAAACAGCTGATCTATTGCCGCAGCAAAGCAGAGCAAGAAACGGGCTTCCCCTGCCAAATCTCCTGCAATCAGAGGCCTGCTTCCAGCCCCTCTCACAGCTGGCCAGGTAGCATAACAACCAGGGCTAGCCGAGCCCCGCAGCTCCCTGCCTGCAAGGGCAGCGCAAAGAGAGGCCGGGCGCGCCAGCACATCCTTGTCGCCACAATGAGGTCAGCATCGCCCTGTGAGAGGGCTGACATGCACGAGCATCCTCTGTTTTCGCAGTCATCCGGAAGGAGGAGGAGAAGAGAACAACACTTTGCCAGTGGCCAGACAGGTCGAGTTCCAAACTGTGCTTACAGGGCAGCTGACCTAAAGCAGAAAATGAGAAATCTTCCAAAGCTACATACATACCTTTCGGTTTCATATAATCTTTTTCCAGGATTGCAGATCCTCGCATATAAAAACTCTCTACCTCTGAAGCATTTACTGCATCCCCTGTTTTAATCTGCGTACACACAACCACCCACACCCGCATTCTGCTTTAAAATAATACCTAGATTTTCCTTTCCAAATGGTAGACCACGTCCTATAAACTCAGCAGGAAACCAGAACAAGAGAAAGAGCAGGTTGCGCCAAACAAGAGGCCACTATTGATTTTTCTCCCATGTAGCAGAGCCCCCCCTCCTTCAGTGGCTGTCAAAACCTCCTCTAACAGCTGGAGTCAAATTGCGCTATTTACAGCAAAGCCCTTGTCAGGCGGGCCATAAGTATTCTGACAATGCCCTATTCAAATGGGCCTTAGCAGCCACACAAATGGCAGGCTCTCCCTTATCGATGACGGAGCCCAGCCCCACATGTGTGATTTTTGCGGAAATCCTCCCTCCCTCCCTCTCTTCACACGGTGAAGTGGCGCTTTCAATGGCCAGCGGAGGCACTCCACATGAGGGGGCCTTTGACTTGCAAAATTAAAATCTGTTTAGGGATATCGGAGGAATTTGACAACACGCACATTTTATCTTGCATTGACCGCATTGGTCACACCAGGAAGAACAAGGCCCTTCTCTTCTTGGCACACGCTCTGCACTCAAAAGCCTCTGAGCAGCGTGAAATTGGAGCAGTGACCCTCGGCAGCAGCAATTGCTATTCAAACAAACACAATAAGGAAGGAGCCACCTTTGATGATGTTCTGTGAGGTGCATTAAGGGCATGATCCACCCTGAGTTAACTGCTTAACAGTCCCATTGATTTCCATGGGAGAGATTTAAGAACAGTCAACTCTTCTCCCTGGAATTCAGTGGAACTTAAAAGCACAAATTTGGGTGGGTCATGAACTAAATTTTAGGGGTCTCAGAAACTGGTTTTTCAATTACTTGTAGACAATTTCAGCTGTAGAAGAGATTCATTATACAAATTGCTCTATATTTTAAACACAAAACCAAGCCCAGATTCATTTGAATGACATTCTTCTCGAAGTCTTACTGTTTTTAATGACCCATCACTTGTACTACATAAAAAGCTTTATATTAAAGATGGCAATGGTCTTACACAAGTTATGTAACTGTTTTTGCTGACGGGCACCTGTGACCGTGGGGAGCAGGCAGCCCTCATGTCCCCAAGGCCCCACCAGCTTGTGCACCAGCAAAAACATCCAAAGGCTAAAGTGCTTAGAAAGGATTTCTGGGGAAGAAGGGACCAGGCAGATGTGAAACCCACAACTAGCAAGACAAGGGCACTACCATATTGATTGGGGTGGGAAGCTTGCATTATTGCAAACATCAGGCTCTCGGTGGATGGTGGCAGCGAGGCGGTGGGGGGGCTTCCATGGTTTACGTAACATTTTAAAACATGTATATGCAAAGCAATAGGTATTTTACAAGTTTGCTCTCATATTGAGTCTTCATGGGTTTTGCGCGGGTGCACAAAGTGACAGCAACAAACTCAAACGGGAGGAAGGGAGGAATTCTGCCCTCTAGCCAACAAGGGCCACTGGCTAAAAGCAGCTGCCCCAAGGGCCAGCCCCACCCTCTGTGGGCACAGGCTGGATCTCACACAGGATGACTCTCCCTTCACTCCTGCGAGGCCTGGGGGCTGCTCTGTCCCCAGAGGGCCTCCCCGCTTCCCATCCACTTTCCTCAGATCACCAGCTACCTCTGTGCACTCGCAAAAGCCTTGCTGCGCATTACGCACAGCATCACCACCCCAGCACCCCTTCCTCTTCCAAAGTGAGAGGCAGCTTTAGGTGAACCATGTGGTATCATGGGAGGCTTCCAGGTACTGGATGAGTAGCTGTTCCCACAGAGCCAGCGCCGCAAGAACACGCCCAGGACTGCGCTAGGTGTTGCTGGCTATGGACAGATGGTCCTGAGTAGCAAGCAGGGAGAGCAGAAATGCACGGAAACTTGGAGAGGGGAATGGAATGGAATGGAGGGTGAAGGCAAAGCAGAAAGGATCTCTCAGCCCGTGTCTGGGGCCCTGTTCACATGCACACAGAGTCCACCGTCTCCTCCTGTTCAGAGGAGCAAGCAGCCTCTTTCCATAGACTCACCCCACAAGCGAAAGACTTTCCTTGGTGAGCAAGGCTGCCGCAGGAAATGTTGCCAAATGTATAGGAGCTGGAAGATTGACCGCCTGCATGTTTCTGCTTCTCTGGGTCTTCTTCACAGACAGGGAGCAGAGGGTCTGTCACTGTCCGAGCTGAGTCTTCGCAGCAAGCAAGGATCACCTTGGCCATTTCCCCACTTTCGTGGCGCTCCAGAATTCCTAGATAAAGAGCAAAGCAGTGTGGAGATATTTAGAGGGAATATTATTCCGCCTGATAGTGGCACATGTGATGCAATTTGCGGGATCATGTCTTGCCTCTGAGCGACTTAAGAGCTTCTCAATCGGTGTCCTATCAAAAATGGAACTCACAAGATGTTCGTAAAGCCAGCAGTGTGTCTACAACTGCAAAGTCAAGGCAACAGTCCTGTCCCTGTTTATGTCAGGGCATGCCGGAAGAAAGAATAAAGCCATTTGAGTCACACGTGGTACTGGCTCTCTCACACAGACGCTGCAAGCAGGAGCCCAGTCATGTGGAAGCGCATTTCCAGCGGTCACCAACCCACTTAGTACCAAAATGTAGGCATGATATGATTGGTATCACTTAGCCTTGGTGGGGTAAGATCCATGCTTGGACCAAAGCAATGAGTGGTACACTCTGCCCACAGAAGAGACGTAGCGGAAAATGAGAGGGACATACACAGAGCCATGAAGCTGAGGATGGAGGCAGAAAGACTGAGAAGGGCTCGGTCCAAGGCCTGGGGACAGAGGGGAGGCAGGGCCAGTCGGCACCCGTTCACCTCAGCTGCCTCCCCAAAGGGGCAGGTGATCAACCATCCCGAGATGCTTGTAGTGGATGGAAGATAAAAGCTTCAAGTAAACAAACCAACCAACCAGGGAAAAGACACGCAGATGCTGAAAGGAGGGAGTCGCAAGGCAGGGCAGGGGAAGCCGGGGTTAAGAGCACAGCCCCCTTCCACAGGAACAGCTAGAGCAGATGGCTAAACTAGGATTCTTCTGGTGCCAAACGTACCCAGGGCAGGCGAGTAACGTATAAATCGGGGTCATGCAAGGTAATTGGCAAGCACCGTCCAGCTTCGACAGAACCACCACTTGTGCTTGTGCACTTGCAGTGCTGGGCACTCTCCTTGGTGCAGCGTCACAGGAAACCCATTCAAGAGACTAATGGTGGCAAGCAGGCCGCCGGCTTCTCACAGGGAAGCACAAATGGTGCGGGGAGAGGCAGATGCAAATCCCCACAAGCGCATCCCTGCCCTCCCCTAGCCACAGTCTCGCTCTCCAGCTCTGCGTGGGGACATCCAGGCAATGCTGGACGGCGCCCACAAGGCGCCCAGGGCAAACGTCAGCTCCAAATTCCTCAGGCTCCGCAATTCACCCTGCGCCCTGCCACGTCCAGTGTTCCTGGAATCCTGCCCAGAGTATCCAAAGTGCAAGGGGTAGCTGACGGGGCTCTTTTACCCTCAGAACTGACACCCTTCTTTCTCCTTCCGCAGCTACTCTTCTTCAGCTACACATTGCTGCAGATACTGTGTTATCAACAGCCAGCGTTCATACCACACCTGACGGCTGCCCTCCAGTGTCCACACGTCAAACAGCAGGATGCAGGAGGCCTGCCTTTACGGTTCCCTTTTCACTCGCATCTTTTCGTTTTGCACAGATGAGAGGACCAGCTTCCAACCGCAGGAGACTGGCCTATGTACTCTCAGCTTCACTCCCTGACCCACGGTTGCTTAAAAAAACAAAGCCACCGATGGCCTGAATCCTTCTGGGAGCTCTCTGTTTTTCCTCCTTGTTCATATTTTCCCCATTTCAGTTTTTGCACTGGCTTGCTCCTCTTCACAGTATTCTCTTAGCCCTTCCGACAGTCACCTGTAGCTGGTGGGGCACTGCCGGGGGCCATGCCACAAACACGGCTGCCTGAACGCTCCTGCGCCCCTAAGCCACCGCTGGAGGCAGAAAGGGTGATGTGACATTCAATGGTGCCAGGCTCACAGCCTGGTCAAAAGCCTTCCTTCAGAACAGACCAAAACAGAAATGCCCACATGCCCATTTGCTCTGGATTCTTAAATATCCACTCCCGTGAGGGTAGTGAGGAGCCACATAAGTCACCCCTCCATGCAGGACTGTGTCTTGGCTCCTGCTCTGCCACCTGTCTCCTCAGCGGATGTGGCAGAAAAGGAACCCGGTAACAGGTGACACAGTGGGAACTGGCACGGTGCCAACTTCAGGTCCAGCTTTGCTATCTGTGGCTTAGGGGTTTAAAAATACGCTTGCAGTATATTGACATAATGCTGAAGCATAACTGAAAGCGCAAGCGATAGCCACGCAGAAGTCCCGCAAACTCAACGCATACCATACAGGCAGATGCTACTCTCGTCAAATGGCCTCAAGTATCACAACACAGATGTTTCATCCAGGCTTGTTCCAAATAAAACAGAGTGTGAGGGGATACTGTAAGCTTGCAGAGCTCTCGGGGAAGACCTAATGGCCTCCTAATTGGATTTTGCACCTCTCTAAATGAATGTCGGCTTTTCCGTTGAGGCAAAGCTTGTTAATTCAGTAGGCTGGGTGGTGCGGGAAGATGAAGGCATACTTCCAATTTCTAAAGATAATCTGCTTGAAAAGGGCTGCTGGAATTCACTTTGGGCATTGCTTGGAACCAGTTTCAGGCACAGAGCAGAGAATGTAACATAAGACTGTCACTGAGAGTGTTCTGAGTGCATTCCCTCTACTGCTAACTGCAAGCAACTGCTTCCGGCATGCTGGGCTTGGGTGTCCAGGGTGCCTTCCTGACCACCGAAGGGTGTGATGCCTCCAGCAGCACTTCATCACGCAGAACTGCAGCTGGATGGGAGGGAAGGGCCAACTCCTTTACCAAGCGTGGCCTGCACCCTAGCTTCCCTCCATCTCAAGGTAGCTATCTATTCATAACATCACAATAAAAATATCAAACACGAAAAACAGAGCACAGTAGCTGCCATTCAAAGCAAAACAGTCTAGAAGCATCAGCCTCTCTGCCTGGCTCAAATCCTCCATCAGCATCAAAGAGTTTTGGAGAGGAGCTGCTTTTCCTAGAGGAAAAAGCACCAGCAAGGAAGAAGCCAGCCAGATCTGCCCAGGGAGGGGCTCCAGCCAAGTCTGTGGCACCACCAAGAGGGCACTGCCTGGCACCGTCGCTCACCACACAAAGGCTGCACGAGAACAAGCATCCTCAACTCAGCATCCAGGTAAAGCCCTTACCCATTATTATGGGCCTGTCCCCTAAAATTCAGCTCTTCAAACTAAATGTTTGCCTGCAAGAAATAAAGCTGGAAGTAATTCCCACAAGTGTCCATCGTATTTTACAATGAAACAGAAGATGGTGCACAGGCAGAGAAGCCTTTTGCTCACCTGTCTCAATATCCCAAATATAAACGGAATCGTTTTCACATCCAACAACCAGCAGGTTTTCCACAGGATGCCACCGAAGCATCTTCACGGGGAAAAGGTGCTTCCTGGCATGCAAGATGCAGGCTCGCTCCTGGATGTGCAGAAGCACTACCGAGTGGTCCCTGCAGATGCAGCACACGATCCGGTGGCCTTTAAACTGCAAAGGCAAAGCAAAACAAGAATTTTAAAGCAGGTTCTTCACATACATCAGTGCAAACACGGGCACCCACACACAGACATGCGCTGTCCCCCCAAGCCCCGGGGAATGTTGGGGCTTACAGGGGATATTTCTGTCAAAGAATGCACCCAAGGGCTCATGCGCACCCTGCCAATGGCTGAGCCTCGTGAGCCCCAGTGTAGCATTCGCACGTGGGGCAGGTGGTTTCTTTCCATGCAGAGCTTCCTTCTGTGCGGGGTTTCCTGTTCTGCAAAGGCAAAACCACGAAGGGAAGAGAATATTCTCTGCTTCTGATCCCGCACTCACTCTGTAGTTCTCTGAAGACAGCCGCAGGTCCATGACGGGGCCAGCCAGCAAGGAGAAATGATGCAGCACTTCTGCCGTGCACATGTCCCACCAGATCACACAGGAGTCCTGGCTGCCGGAAACCAGCCAGCTGGGATCAAAGCGGGCGGACTGCCCGTGGAGGTAAAGCAAGGACGTCACGCTGCTGCTATGGCCGCTGAGCAGCCTGCGGGGCAGGGCGCCTGGAGGGAGGCGAAAGGAGGCGAGTCGGCACTAAGCCCCACCAGCCAGGGGCTGTGCCGGCTGGGCAAAAAGGGACACTGTGGCAAGAGACAAGCGTGCAGTTGCAGTTGCAGACAAGAGACAGTTGCAGACAAGCGTGGCTACCACACTTCAGTGCTGCTTCAGCGAGGTTTTGCTCCTATTTCATTCTCATGGGAATCCCATTTGCCCAAACCTTTTGCTGCAATTTAACAGGTCGTTACTCCCCATCAAGGCCTGGGTTCAGTAAAAGAGGAGTTCAGATCCATTCATCCACTACATTTATATTCCACCTTCCACAAAAAATGCCATTTGAGATGGAGAACACCAAAACTGGAGAGCAGCTTCTTGTAAGTAGGATTTCAGAAAACAAGTGGCTGTGGAGAGAGGGCTGAAACGCCCCTGCACAAGCAGGATGGCTTTCCTCAGGATGGGGGCGAACGGGTCAGTGGCATGTAGTGTTTGCCACACCCAGCCTTGCCCCACTAAGAGGACTGCTCCCGCAGACAGAAGGTGGCTGCTTGCCCTCGCAATGCCCCCCGTTTGCCCGGGACGCAGATTTATTTCCCACCCCATTACTCCTGCCAGGTCAAGCTGTGGGGTTTGGTCCCCACCAGACAGCTCTGCAGGTCTCCCAGGGGTGGCCCTCGTCCAAAGCCCTGCTCAGCCCCTGCAGCTCGCCTGCGCCCGGCTGGCACCCACGCCAAGCCCAGCTGAGTCCCGAATGTCATCAGACACCGAGCAACAGGCCTTCCAGGGAGCTTTCTGCCTTTATTCAACACAAGGCATCAGTCAGAAGCCCAGCCAAGCTGGGATTCTGCACGCCTCCATGCCCGGCAGCTCACCTTCCAGCAAGGAAGCATCTTCCAGCAGCCTGACCTTGGCAGCTTGCAGAGCCAGGACAATGAAAATCCTGCCGTCTTCACATCCGCACACCAAGGCATCGAGGCTGGGGATGAACACCGAGGAAGTGATGGTGGCGCTCCTGCCCCCGGCATCAGCCCCACAGAGATGGTCGGCAGCAGCGGCCTCTACAGGTCTCTGGCCATCGAAGTCATCCTGGAGAGCCCAGGAGGCTGCTATGGGGATCTCTACAGAGAAATACAAATGCACCACAGTTTGCAAAGCCGAGCTGCTGAAGGACACGGAGGTGAAATTCAAGCGAGGACGTGTCTGACTTTTCCTGACTTCATCCTGTCGACGACAGGTGACGCCTGGAAAACGCTAAAAAGCATTCCAGTCCTGCTTTTAAAAAGTCCTATGTCCCACTGTGACGGAGCGGGCGCGACAAGAGTGCCCGTCCTCTCCAGGCCTTGCACGATCTGGCAGTCTTCTGCACCCCTTTAGATGCCCAGATGAACCCGGATCATTATTGTCCCACCAGGCAGATCAGGAGCTGTGGCATTTCTGCCCCTCCACACCAGCATCCCCTCCTGGAGACCTCCAGCATTTACCCTTTCAGTTGTGCTGCTTCTGGGAGATCAAAAGTTGTCCTAACCTTTTGGAGAACCATCTAGAGTTGAAACTGGGACATCAGGAATATGCCACAAAGTGATTCTTCCGGAGGTTTCTCCACAATATAGGATCTTATAAAAAGGTTCCTTTCTTTCATTCATGAAGCCCATAACATAAGAGAAACTCTGTTTAAAAAAACACCCAGAGGGGTAACTCGGTTAGTTATTCGCAGCAGGAATGACGACGAGGCCAAGGCTCCCTAAAGGCTCACAGGCCACCATGTGATGCAGGAAGGCCTCTCTGTCGCCGCCACACACGGTGTTGTGGCCAGAGGGCAGGCTGACATCAGGGGCTGGCTCAGTGGAGGGAAGCCGGACTGGGCTTTCCGGTCCTGCTCCTTACGCCGCTCGGCCCCCTGGCCAGGCCCACCCTGAACATGCAGCTGCTGTGCCCGTGGCCCAAGGGCTGCGTCAATGTCACCCATGCTCCCCCCACCCCCTGCCCCCACCCCCAAAGCCTGCAGGCAGCGCTTCGGTCTACAAATCCTCGGGAACAGATAACAAGGGGAGGCATGAACGCTGTGGGCTCCAAGTGCAGTCAGGAGGGCCAGCTCCCCGAGACAGAGCTGCTTCCCTTGCTGAGCAGAGTCGAAGGCACACCCAAGGCAGGGAGAAGGGCCGAAGAGCCAGAGGGACAGCCAGGCGGGAGGCGCACAGAGCAGGCAAAGGCTTGGCCCACCCCCATTAGCTGTGCAGGTGCCACACCTCCTCACACGGCCCTCATGTTTTGCACACTGGCCTAGTCACGCCACAGCACCCTCTCGCTAGTTTCTAAGTGACCTGGGGGTGATGAAATGGGGGGGGGGGCTTTTGCTGTTTGCTTAGGTATGACCTTACTGGTAGCCAGCGAACAGAATCGCACTGCCCACTTTAAAAACCCTAACGCTGACCATAACCCTTTGTGAATAAGCCCCAAGCTGGTAGGTGCTGCCTGCCATGGGTCTGCCCCTTGCCACTGAAGACACACAAGAGCCCCAGCTGTTACCTTGTTATCTTCCACATCTGTAGAACAGAGCAAGACGGGATGAACTGTTTCTTTGAGCACCCCTCCACTGAATGGCTGTACACTCCAGGAAAGGCCACTAAATCCCCAGGAAAAGAAGAAAACATCAAAAATACATCTTTTCAACCAGCAAGGAGTGCCCAAGGATCCCGAGCTCAGTGCAGCGTAATGATACGCAGTCTTTTCCTCCTCCTTCCCCACAGCATCCCACGCCTCGCATGGCTGATTTTACCCACTGCTTTGACCAACGAAAGGCAGCCGCTGGCGGACCCCGAGCGAAGCCCCTCCAGCCAAAGTGACTGTGTTGTACAATCTGATCACTGGGTTTTTCACTAGCCTCCCAAAGTTCAGCGGGTGCCCGAAACATTTGTTGCATGCTCCCAACCTGAGCGCACCTGTTCAGCAGCTGGTAGATACAGCCATGGCCACCTTCTGTCCAAATTATCAGTCTGTGTGCAGCAAGGACGTCACCCCCAGCAAAGCACTGGCCGCTTGGGCTAAATTCAGTCCACAGCAAGGAGAAGTCACAGTAATCGTACACCTAAAGTCACAGGGAGAGAAGCTTGCATCTGTTGGGCGAGGCTCAGTAAAGCCAAAGGCAACAGCAGGATTTCAGTCTAGTGGCTGCATCCAGAGTTCCTCCCTGGGACACACGCCAAGACTCCAAAGGGCGATGCGGCACGCACAAACCTGGAGCCTGAAATGGCCGTGGGTCTTTGCCATCGGGTGCTCGCACAGCACTGCCTCCTCTACTGTCCCCCCTCCCTGGGGTTTCGGTGGGGGAGGGGTCTTTTGGACAAGGGAACATCATGTGAACAATGGACCTCTGTGGCCAGAGTCACAAGGCCCCTGTTCGCAATTGGTCGCCGTCTCTTGCCACAGGATGCCTTGGTCGAGCTGAAAGGCTCTTGTACCAACCCAAGGAGTCACTCCACTCGAAACTGCAGAGCTGCCCAGACTCATAGGCTGTAAATACTGAGAAATCCAACTCAGCAGGCTGTCCGTTCTAACTCTACTGCAGATTTTAAGAACCGGACATCTGAAGACTCAGGGCCTGATGCTGATTTAGTTTAGCTTCTCAAACTGGGCAGCATTTGATCTGCACTGAAATTCAGAAAACTAAAAATACAAAGTGACTCAGTCCATCCACTTGTGGTTTTTCTCTTGCGGTTTCCAATACCACACGAGCAGTTAGCTCACTTTCCAATCATCACCACCGCAGCTCATCACCTGGGACCGCATAAGCCGAAGGTCCCTGTGAGGGAAGGAGAGAGCATGTTCCGCGTACCTTCCAGCAGGTGGAGAACACGACTAAGAGGAGCCGTTCTGTGTAGGTGCAAAATCGGACTGCATTGCAGCAGCCACAGTCCAGGGACTTCGATTCCCTTTCGTTAATACTTTGCGCCTCCTGCGTATCACAAGCAAAGGAACCAGAAGTGGCAGCGGGCTCATGACAACGGCCAAGATGGCGCCACACAGAAACAGTCCAAGAAGCTCACTGCTCCGCCCTCACAACCCCGCCCTGGCCAGGGAGAGGCTCGCCTCAAGCAGCCCCCGCAGATCAGCCACTGAGGCCCTCAGACATGGCCAGGCTGCCTTACAGCCTGCAGACAGTCGTCTGACTCTGCTCCAGCTTAGGCCGCACGGCCCGTCACAACTGAGCCAGGGAGCAATGGAGCCAGGATGTCAGCTGCTCCAGTCTCTAGGAACCCCTCTTGGGTTGTGCAGCCAGAAGCGAACAAGTTGCAGCCCGTGCTCCTTGGGTCCCTCCCTGGGAATCAAATGCGGAAGACCAAGCTAGGCCACCCCTCCTGGAGGGAAGGTCCTTGCAGCCCTAGAAGAGGCCGCAAAACTTGAAGAAATCTGATTTAGTATCTGCAGGCCTGATCAGTTACGGCCCGCTACGGATTTTGCCATTTTTAGCAAGGTTATGGAGCAGGTGGTGGGGTACTGAGCTCTGTTTATGGCCTTGGAAGAGGCAATCCAAAGCATCCTATGGCCCATTAGATGCTGCTTGGAAGCCTATGGGTGTGCTCGCTTATCACACAATCTAAATGTGGTGTTCAGAATTACAAGGCTGTGATAGGAACCACACTAGAAATGGTGGTGGAGGTCTCCAGATTCCAGAGATGTCGGAGCCACATGCCCTTTCCTGAGGCCATTAGCGATGCTTTTCCATCCTCCTGCCACTGGGTTGCCGATCACAGAAGAATTGTCTGATTCTAACCCCCACCCTCCAATTCAACAACTCTGTATAAATCTGCAGGATTTTGCCCAACTTAGAGACTTTGAAAGTTAACAGATCATGGCCCTGTGCAGCTCTTACCTGTATCTTGCTTACCGAAGATGACAGGTCCCAGACCTTAAGATCTCCTGCTGCAGACACTGCTATTAAGGAATCCTCTGTGGAAAAGCAACACAGATGTACTTATGAAGACTGAGCCGAGCTGCAGAGAGAGGGCAGAGCTAGCTGGGACGCAGACGCCAAGCAGAGCAGCAGATGACGACCTGGCTGTCAGGCATTATGAGGAAATGGAAGGACAAAGATGGCTGTTCAGCTCCTGCCGGGGTTAACTCGGGCAGCCCCCACCCAGCCTTGCCTGGAAGTGTTTTTGGTTCCTGCCACTGTGTGATCACAGCACTTGCCCTCCACGTGCATTTCGCACCCACACCCTAACCTCCCCGACCTCGGTGCTCAATGGCCCACCTGCCTGCATCTCTGGGCGCTTCTTCTTGAACCATTTGGCCATTTGGGACATGAGAGGCAGCGCCAGAAAACCCAAGGGAAGGCAAAGGCATTAGCTTGCACTGGACCCTGTTTGTGACACATCACAGAAACACAGCCCCACATGTCTACAACTCGGAGACAAGAAAGACACAAGAGGGCTGGCTGGGGATGCAGTATCTTAAGGGTTTTGGTATCGGTATCATCATCATCTAGTGCAGTGGTGACGAATCTATGGCAGAGAAGAGCCTTCTCTGTTGGCATGCAAGCCAAGTCGCCCCAGCATTGCCCCAGCAGCCGAGCATCTGGCATGGTTTTGATGGTTGGAATGTGTTTGGAATGGGCAGAAATGATGAGCTGAGCAGAAAAAGCTACTCAAGGAAGGCTTTTTCAAAATCGCATTATTCTCAAAGACACTTTAGCCCTCTATTAGGGTTAGGGCTGTGCACCAGGGCACGGTTAGGGTAGGAAAACGAGGTGTCCTGGCATGATTTTGATGGTTGGAATATGTTTAGAATGGGCAGAAAAGATGAGCTGAGCAGAAAAAGCTACTCAAGGAAGGATTTTTCAAAATCGCCCTCTTTTCAATGGAACTTTCGCCCTATATTACAGTGAGGGGTGTGCAGCAGGGCAGGGTTAGGCTTAGAAAAACGAGGTGTCCTGGCATGATTTTGATGGTTGGAATGTGTTTGGAATGAGCGGAAGTGATGAGCTGTGCAGAAAAAGCTACTCAAGGCATATAGGGGCCATGCGCATGCTCGAAATAGGAGTAATGGTGCCAGGCGATGACGTCACAAGCCACGACTCATTAACCGCGACTCATCCAAGCTTTTGCATGGCTGGTCAGTGCGCTGCCATGGGGGGGGGGGGGAGAGAGAGAGAGAGAGAGAGATTTGCTTGGACTGGCTGTGAGTTGTTTTTTTCTAAACTAAAACCTCAATTTTCAGGTTTTATTGTAATGTTGGCACTTTGCAATAAATACGTGGTTTTTGGGTTGCAGTTTAGGCACTCGGTCTCTAAAAGGTTCACCATCACTGGGTTAGGGTTCGAAAAATGAGATGTTCTGGCATGATTTTGATGGTTGGAATGTGTTTACAATGGGCAGAAATGATGAGCTGTGCAGAAAAAGCTACTCAAGGAAGGCCTTTTCAAAATCGCATTATTTTCAATGGAACTTTAGCCCTATATTAGGGTTGGGGCTGTGCGCCAGAGAAAAACCCTAGGAGGAGAAGGCAGAGCTGGCGGAAAAGCCAGCTGGAAGAGACAGCAGAAAGGCAGGTGGCTGTCACTTGCCTGTCTGCGCAGCTGCGGCCCATCCTGCTTCTCTCTCAAGCAGCAGGAATATCGGGAGGGGGCGGGCTTCCCCCCACCTCAGCCGGCCTGAGCACTGCTGAGCTCACAGCCGTGCTGAGCAGCTGCGCCAGGCCTGCCTCTGCGCACTGGCACTCGGCCCCAGCAGCGGGGCCTCCTCGCCGACGACTCCAGCGGAGGCGTACCTTGGATCCGGGGGGAGTGCACCAAGCACATGCAGCTGATCCAGTCTGACGCGTGAGAAGACGCCAGCGTGTGAAGCACAGCCAGCGTTCTGGCGTCAATGACGAGGATGTCGTCATAATGTCCACAGCACAGGAGCCAGCCCTCTCCCGTCATGCGGAAGGTGTTGCGGTAGTACTGCCGAGGGAGAGCGCCGCGGGTGAGCAGGCAGGGCCACACGGCGCGGCCCCGCCAAGCCAAGCCCATGCAGGGGCCCCGGCCCCGCCTGGCAGCAGCGTGCCCCTGCGTGGGAGGCCCCTGGGCATCCTGGGACAGCAGCACCCTCTGGTCTGGTGCCCACAGCTGAGCGGCCCCGGAAGCGGAGGGGGACGGAGCCCATCTGCCTTCCTGCCCCCCTGCCCCACGCTGTGTGAGCAAGGCGAGCACCTGCGGCCTGTGCAGCTGGGCGCTGGCAGGGCTGACCCGGGCCAGGGCAGGGGCCCGGCCGGCACGGGTGAGTGCAAGAGAAGCGCCGGCAGCACATGGTGGTCCACAAACAGTGCTTGCGGCCATCCAGCGAGGGAAGCCCAGCGGGACGGGCCAGGGGCCAAAAGCACAGGCATTTCCCCAGAAGTCCACAGAGCCCCTCTGCCGCGGCCTGTGAGCATCTTGGTCCTCACGGCTCCCGTCGTGAGACAGCCCGGGGGCAGGAGGGCCGGGTACCACGCCTCACTCCACCTGTCAGCCGTGCTGGCGGCCTGCACTCTCTGCCATGGCTTGCCTGCCCCGGCCCCATCCCTGAGGGCAGGCAGGAGGTGGACGGAGCAGGTGCTCTTCCGCCTGGCATGCGGACAGAACCCACGCCAGCAGCTGCACTGAGGGCGCCTGAGCAGCCCTAAGCTAAAAGCTGCGGCCGCCTTAACAATGTGCAGCTCTCTTAGTATTCCCTGGCGGGCTGCACCCCACCCTTCCCTTGCCCGACGCTTTAGGAGAGATGCCTTGAGGGGCTGCCAGAGCCCCTAAGCGTACGAGACCAAGCTGCCAGGAGAGTCCTCCGGCGGGGGGGGCGGGGGGGCAGACAGGTTCCATCCAGAAGGTGCTGCACTTACACAAATTGCCGTGTGCCTAAAGGGAAGCCTTGCATTTGCGACACACTGTCCGCAGCTGACATTCCAAATGCACATTTCCCTGCCAAGAGACGACAGCCGAGTTAGCATTTCTAGTCACGTGCCTAGAATGAGAGTAGCATGCAGCCCCTGAGGGTTTTCCTCTGCACACAGTGACTGTTTGTGCAGCCGCCTCACCATTAAAAACTGTGGGGGGGGGGAATGCTGTTGCTATGCGAGTGCGCACAGGGGAAATCTACCAGCGCACCTGCACCCGGGGACACCTCTCCCTCTGCTTTGGTGACCACATTCGGCTGCTCTGTGACCAAACAGGCACGTTCTCTCCCACTGCAGCTCAACAAGAATCCACTGCTCTCCTTCACTGCAAGGGCACCAAACAATCTTCATTTTGCCCAGCTCAAGCTGCACTTTTGCAAAGCACCATCTGCCTGGCTTGGGGGGGGATGCTGGGGGCCTCCAGGCTGCATCCCCAGCCAGGGGAGAACATACAGCGACCCCCAGAGAAGGGCATTACTGATGCCCAGCACCTCAGTCCTTCCCAGAAATCACAGTGCTTCATTTTGTGACAGAAACTCCATTTTAGTATGGCTTTATTATTATATTGTGAAAATGATTTGAAATGCAGCAGACATGCCTCATAGTAAGGAAAGCAGAAGCGAAATGCTCTGCTTTAACAGGCCAATACTTTATATGTCCCCCCACGGATCTCATAAAGCTTTACTCCCAAGTAAGTGCATAAATGATTTCAGCAATAACCAATTGAATTCAGAACTATTTGTACTATTTATTTAAAATGCGAATACCTCAATCCATTGTTTAGTGTAATAAAAGTAGAATTAGGGACGGGGAGAGCGAGAGGATGAGGGGGAGAGCGAGAGGATGAGGGGGAGGATGAGAGCATCCGAGTTCCTTCTGCAGCCTCCCACAGTGGTTCACAGACAGTAAGCAGCACATATAATGCACCTGTGCCTTGCACAGCACCTCAACAGCTTTCCTTGGAAGCATCCAAGGACGGCATCAACCTCTTTAGTGAGGAGGAGGATGGATCCAAGACTATTTATCAAACACATGTCCTTCTCTCAGCCAAAAATGATGCCAAAACTAAGGTAGCCCCATAAAGCCCATAGAGATGCACAGCAGCTGGGCATTGTCAAAAATGTGCATGCACCGCCTTTGGCCTCAGGGCCAGCATAAGCCGAACCTCTGGGGGGCACAGCCCTTTTCTGTAGTTTGTTTCCCCCTGGCTTTCTACGTCTTTCATTATCTGACCACAAGGTGGTGCTGCAGTACAGCCCGGAAAGAGGATTGTGACAGGCAAGAGACTTGGTTTTGTTCTGCAGCTGAAATGTAATCGCTAACCTCCCACACTCTAAGGAAAAATGTGAAAATAGCTGGAGAACACAGGAGAGGCCCCAAAGGACAGCAACAGGATCATGCTCGTCCAACAGGGCCTCGCACAGAGAAACCCTTTCTCTGTGGACCCTGCTCCACTTCTCCAGCAATGATGCTATAAATTGCTAGCTATTGCCCAACAACAAGCAGGATCATTTCTTGCTCCGCTGGAACTTTCCACGGAAATAAGCCGAAGGTGAGTGTTTATGGGAAATGCCAATCAACTGACCCGTTCTCCGTAGAACTGACTATGTAGGGTTGCTTCTCAAAGTCTCTCGCTTTAGCTAAACATGTCACAGACGCCGTGTGACCAAAGAGCATTTGCTTCGAGGAAATCTAGGACAGCAAAAAATTAAGCATGTGACAATGTCAATACAGCCCTTTCCTTAGAACATGTTAAGACTGTAAGGAGAGCCTCGAAGCTGGATCAGACCGACGCTCCATCTGGTCTGGCATTCAATTCACACAGGGGCCAGCCACATCTGCACACCCTTCCACCCCGACTGAGAGCAAAACCCACGGAAAGGAGGCGGCACGGGGCAGAGTTCTGCTGAGAGGAGCTGAGCCGGGTTCTGGGGACATTCTGAGCCTCTCATAAGAAGGATGCTTCCATGCCCTGTGCTGCCATCCCCCCTCCCCACAACGTGTGACCCCGTGGCAAGGGCAGCATCCAGAAGCACGGCTGCCGGCAAACCTGCTTGGGACGAGGGCCAGCTGGGGCGAGTCAGCAGAGCAGCATCTCTTCAGCCAGGGCTCCTGACTGGCGATGTGGGCACAGGGATGCGAGGGAAGGAATGAGGACCGCTTGAGGATGGCTCTCAAGCGCGTGGGCCTGGCCAGCGTTCAGCAATTCCCACCTTTAGCTCTGCAGACAGATCCCAGAGACAGATCTGCCCCTCCTGGCTCCCTGTCACGATGGTGCCCTGGTCCTCCGTGATCAGGATGGCTGTGATGCTGTGGACTGGGGCCTGCTTGCCCCACAACGCCACAACCTGCACGGAGCCCTTCATGGCAAGCTAACCTGAAAAGAAAGGAAGGTGTTTCAGCAGCAGGTGGGGCAGACACGGTGGCATGAACATGTTCTACAGACTCGTTCAGGGGCCACGGGCGATCTCCCAGGAGAATGCCTCCCGTGAAGCACCGCAGCATGAGGTGTGAGTGTTCTGCGGTCTGTGAAGAAAGCGTGGCTATTTAGGAAAGTGTCCTTTATTTGCTTAATGTGTCTATAACCCACCTGATCAAACTTATCTCAAGGGGTCTTGCAACGGCAACAAGCTGAGACAGAACACACGGCAGCAGCAAGCAATGTAGAGTCACAGAACACCAACAGAAAAAGCCAACGCAGCCCTTGGTATGCATAGAGCGTATCTTGCATTGCTCCACTCAGGCTCCCTCGCAGATCCTGAGGGATGGGGAGTGAGGAAGCAGTGCAGTGGGTCACCTTCCCTCCTGCTTCACGGGCCTTTTGCAGCCCTCCCACATTCCTCTCACCCAGAACACAGAGCTGTTCCTGCAAGGTCTGCTGGAAGTGCATGGACACAGGCACCGGGGGCCAGGAAAGGCCTCCCATCATCACCCAGAGGGGTCCCACCAGGCCTCACCCCTTCCCCTGTCACCCTGCGGTTAGCATGAGCTGGAACGCGGTGCCAGGAACAAGCCAGGGCCTGCTGGCAATGCTATTTGTATTTCTAGAATGAGCAGCACCAGAAATACTCACTTCATTCCACACGATAATTTGCCACAACCGGAAGGAGCACCGCAAGGGCCAGGCAATCCTCCAGCTGTCCTCACATCAGAGGTTTGAAGCACCAATTCAATTTTATAATGTTAATCTCGGCCTGCCACTCAGAAATTTTCTCAGAGGAATATGATTGTTCTCTGGATTTCATTTTAAGACTGATTTTCTACTTCAACAATCAATAAAAATATGCTTTCATCAAAATTATCTTGGTCAAATTCAAGGGGCCATCTCAAGCTCTCTTGGTGACACAATATTAGTTAAAAAACTTGATGTTGCTCCCGAACTGCGAAATGAGGCAAGGAAAGCAGAAGCATCTCAGCACATGGCCTCCTACAGGCAGGGGGTCCAGAGCAGAGCCCTTGCCCATGCCCTGGGAGCTGGTCCTGCCCCTATGCATCGCGATGCACATCACCCCACCACCCCTATGCGTACGCTACCAGAAAATCGCACCGAGCCCGTGCCTTCCAATGCACACCTAGTCTGTGCCCGCATGGAGAACCTGGGCAGCACCACGGGAAACACTGGCTAGGGTGCAAGCCGGCCTCTCCCTGGAGTCTGGGGCACAGGGCATCGGTGGAAGCCCTTCCTTTCCCCAGGCCATTGCAGAGCCGGGTTTTCGCGCCGCCACCGCCACCTCCCTTGCACTGCGTCTCATCCTGGCAAAGCTCTGCACTCTTTCCCGGAGCGTTAGGGATTCGCACCGCGCTTCGCACGGCAGGTGCGGCCTGCAAATGAGACGCGGCTACGGCGAGGCGAGGCAAGGCGAGGCGAGGCAGCCGCCCGGGAGGAACGCGAGGCCGACGGTTGCACCGCGGGGCGCCCGAGAGAGCTCCTGGGCAGGGCTCGGCTGGCAGCGCCCCTGCGGGCGGAGCACAGGCCACTACAGGAGTCCCTCGGCTCGGCTCTCCGGCAGGCGGCTCGAAAGCCGGAGGCTTCGCCACAACGCCGACGGGGAAGCGGGTGGCCCCCGCCACACGCGCAGGGCGCTTCTCGCCTGGCCTTAGCGGCCCCGGGGCTCTCTCCTGGAAAGCAGCCCGCGGAGAAGCCGCGCCCGGCCCTCGGGGAGCAAGGGCGCAGCCTGGCCCGGAAAGGGCGCGGGCGACAGGCCCCCCGCGGCCCCCTTGGCGCACGCCGCGGCCCGAGCCTGCAGCAGCGCCGTCGCGGGCCGCCAAGAGGGGCTCCCGCACGCGGCGCCCTCCCCGCCCCGGGCTTCGGCCCGGCCCGGTCCGCGCGCCTCCCGCGCCTGCCCCTAGCGGCCCGGCCGCGAGCCCGGAACGCGCCTGGAGGGCTGGAGCTGCCTCCCAGCCAGGGAGGGAGGCTACGCGCGGTCACTCACCGGCGCGGGCCCCGCAGGGCCAGGCTGTTCCGCCGGGCTCTCTCGGCGCCCAGGCAGCGCCCGCGGCGCTCCCGCTTGCTCCCTTCCTGAGCCGGGCTCCTCTCCCCGCCGGCGGCAGCAGCTCTTGCTGCTCGCTGCTGCTGCTGCTGCTGCCGGGAACAGCCGCCCTGGACTGGGGCCGAGCACCGCTGGAGCTGGGCATGCTGTGGCGCGGCAGAACCAGCCGGTGGGAACCGGCCTCTGCCCGCCCCGCTGCCTGCTCCTGCAGGGCGGCTGGGCTCGGCTCGGCTCCAGCAAGGCCCAGCAGGCAGGGGCCTTCGCCTCGGCCTCTGGAGCAGCGGTGGCCCCCGCCCGGGGGTGGGCTGTGGGGCCTTGCTCTCGGGCAGCCCGCTCCCTGGAAGCCCTGGGCACGGGAAGGGAGCACGCCTCGTTTCTCACGAGCAGCGTTGCCTCCTTCTCTTCAGCAGGTCGTGAGTGGCCTGCCCTGCACACCCTTCTAGCCCCGGCCTCACTCAGCGCTCCTCCCTCCCTGCCTAGTGAGAAACTGGAGAATCCCACAAAGGGGAACCGCCAGCCAGGGTTGTGATGTGGCCAAAGCTGGGCAGGTTGCTGGAACTCCTGCCGTGAAGCACACAATCACCCCTTTCCCTGCATGCAAGGTCTCTTGTTCCCTCACAACTTTTCCCTTACCAGGATTTAAATACTGACCCACCAATTCAAGCAGGGATTCGACTGAAGTTTTCCCTCAGTGTCTTATAAGCATGGCATGGCGCCAAGGTGATGAAAAGACACTGGAGTGCGGAATTTAATCTTGACGAAGTGATGGAATCATGGCAGTGTGGGAGCAGCAGATGTTGGTTTTCTGAGCCTGAACATCATCATCCCTCAGAGTCACAGTCTGTTTATTAAAAAGAACCAAAGGAAGCACCCTCTGTGCCTTTTTCGCATCAGTCCTCCAGCCCATTCTCCCCCTTCAAAGAGCACCAGCATAAACTAAGCCCTGGGCTGGGAGCTGGGCCAAGTTACGGGGGCATCCTCAGCAGCAGAAGGAGCAGCAAAACCTTGGGGATAGACCCAAACCACTGGCAAGGTCCTGAAGACAAGCTGCAGGCTCCCTGAGAGTTATTTATTCATTTATTTAGGGGACTTCTATGCCGCCCCATTCGCCGAAGCCTCGGGGCAGCTCACAAACATAAATAAATCATATAAAATAATATAATGTAACAGTATAAAATTAAGTCGCCCTGGCCAAAGAATAAAATAAATAATATTAACAATTAAAATAACGTTTGAATAAAAAGGTCTTCGTCTGGCGCCGAAAAACAAATAACGACGGCGCCAGGCGAACCTCTCTGGGGAGCACATTCCATAGATTGGACGCCACCACGGAGAAAGCCCTCCTCCGAGTACCTACCCTCCTAATTTCTTTCATGGAGGGTTCCCGGAGAAGGGCCTCTCCCGCAGATCTCAAGGGGCGGGCAGGCATATATGGAAGTAAGCGCTCCTTCAGGTAACCAGGACCCAAGCCGTTTAGGGCTTTATAGGTCATCACCAACACCTTGAATTGGGCCCGGACTTCAATGGGAAGCCAGTGAAGCTGATGGAGAACTGGAGTCATGTGAACATAATGCCCAGTCCCCGTCAGCAGCCTGGCAGCTCTATTTTGAACCAATTGAAGTATCCGGACCGTCTCCAAGGGCAGTCCAACGTAAAGCGTGTTACAGAAGTCAAGTTGGGAAGTCACCAACGCGTGTGTCACTGTCGCCACCCATTTACCCACCCATGTGTTCTTGTGGCACTAAACTGCCTGTGCAGCCTCTGCAGGGGCTTGTGTGGTATGAAGCTGGTAGATGTCAGCTATGCAAGAATAAAACAGAGTGTGAATTACGAGGGGGCTATCTAACCCTGGCATGCCACATTCTCTGGGTTCCTGCCTATTTAAAATGGTGGCCACAGCCCTGTGCTGGGGTACAAGCAGCCCCAGTGAATCAAAACACCTTTGCATGTGTCTCACCCACACTAGAGACATTCAGGAAGAAGCTGGGCAGCCATCTGAGTGGGGTGGTGTGACTTGGTGTCCTGCAACAGCAGGGGGTGGATTGGATGGCCTTCAGGGCCCCTTCCAACTCTACTATGATTCTAGGTCATTGATGTGGATGGATGAGAATGTAAAATGATAACATTCATAGAAGCACATCGCTGTGGAGTGTGGAAGGGTACGGCCAGGTGGGTTCACCAGTCATTGCTGTCACTGGGCCTCTTCAGGGATGTTCAGTGGTCATGGTTCCTCCTGTGGTTCGTTTTCTTTAAGCTGGAAATGGATGGCCGAGCTCCACCAATGGAGGGACGTCCTTTTTAAAGAGGGGCACTGGCAATGTCCGTGGCCATCCTCAGCAAGCCGCTTAAGATTGGGCAGGTGGACCAAATCTCCTGGGCAAGCGCGGAATGTGCCTCGCCACAGTGTGCAAGAGCAGAGGACATACTGCCTCCGTTATCACTCTGACACCCCACCTTGCCACCAAAAGAGCACTCCGAGCAGTCGCAGTTATGAAATACAGATGGAAAGCTGTCGCGATGCATGCATACTGAAAAGGCCACCGCCTCGAGCACCAACAGCACCCAGCCTGCCACGGCTCCCGCCCCACCCCTGCAGCCACAATCCTACCTAAGGAGGGGGCAGCCCAGCTTCCTTGGCAGGAGCTCCAGAGCATGGAGTGGCTGCTGGGAAGCTCCTGAGGGCCCAGCAGGTGCGCAATGAGGCAGGTGTGCAGCACCGCCAGACGAGACGAGGCGGATCGCTGCCCGCAGATTCCTCACTGGCGTTCCCTCAGGCCCGGCCCTTCTCAGGCCTTCTCCGCACTCCCGCCTCCGCCCCCTCTCCAGATCTTGGAGGCGCCGGGAGTCCCTGCCACGCCCAACTGCCAAAACCACAG